TTTGTGTGCTTGGGTGGGGGAGGTTCTTTCTTTTCCTCTGAGCTAGTATGCTATAAACATGTTTTTTCATGTGTTTCAATGTATGTGTGTTACGTCCAGGCCAGCCACAACCTATTCAATCCTGTGATGGTGGTCAGAAGACTGAGGACCCTAGCAAAGGTGGCAGTGAAGTGGTGCTCGGAGGTCAATTGGGAGTAGTCCCCACTGAAACAAACAAGACTGAGAATGAAATAGCCAAAGTTAGTTTATGTCTGTTTTCAGCTCTGCATTATAACTATAAACATTGCATTCCAAGAATAAGCTGTCAGAGGAGCTGGAGCAAGAGGCCAGCCATTCCTCTACTCCACAAAAGGACTTTGAGAAGGGTTTAGATAGTGGAGTGGTGAGTGGCTCTGCAGACCTCAGCTCAATGGAGGTTAGGAGTTCCCTGGAACTCAGCTCAGTGGAGGTGGAAAAGGGTCGGGACAGTGGTAAGCCATGTAATTTGGATAATGCTACTCTGTGTGTTGTGTGGTGTTATTCTGCCTTGTCAACCACGCTGCCTTCCTGTGTGAGAGTAACGACACAATGGGTATATTATAGCTGAACGACATGGCATTGTCGATCACATAGTGGAACTTCTGCGCATGTATGTTTGTTTTTTTATTCGCCAAATTCCTTGTATATAGATGATGACTCAACTTGTGTGGTTGAGAAAGGTTCTCAAGTACCAGTGGATACAGAAGACAACTCACCCTGTGTTCCACACGCAATTACCCCTGGCACACGTAATTTCTCCTTTCTAAATCTGTTAATGTTGAGACTGTGAAAGTATTACATCCTAACAGAACCAACAGCTCAGTCTGCTGGTGATGACAGAGGTGAGATGGTGACTGCAGTTGAGGAAAAGACGACAATCCCTGGTGAACGTAAAACGGAGGATATCAGGGGACCCATGCTGGTACTACAATAGCATGAGTGTAAATTAACACTGAAATTACTCTTGTGTATGAAGCCCAACAAGCAGTCAAGAGTTCAACAACATCCTACACCAGAGGTTCCGCCTTTTAAAGCTCTGCAGGAAAAGAGTGTCAACAGTGAGAAACATTCTCTAACTTGTATTGCTCTACGCATCTACCACAATAATGAAAAGCACTGAAGTGCAAACCCTCGGCGCATTACGCATGTAACAATAAACCATGTGATGCCAAGAGAAAAAAGATGGGGAGCTCTGGACAGCTGTTTCGGGCTTGTTGGCCCTCATCAGCACAACTTCTCTTTCTGGCATCACGAGTTTATAAAGGCAAAGTTGAGCGCAGCACTTGTGGTTTTGAATTAATGAGATTCGTCCCCACAAGGCTTTGCTCAGGTGCAACGCTTGTGGTTCTGAACTAATGAGATTCATCCCCACAAGGCGTTGCCAGTACCGAGCCAAAACCCAAATTCAGAATGCTGACATAGCATGCTGGCATGCACGGTAAGGTAAATAGGGGTAACTCTGGACACGGAAGTAACTCCGGACATGGGGTGTAACACTGGCTTCGAAATTATTCGCTGCGCAAAAAACGCGAGGAAGATTTGTTAGCGCTTTGGTAGGTAGTAATCAAGTCCAAATCTTTCTCTTGTTTCTGAATAGCGAGTTATGTCTGTGTATGACCCCGTGTCCAAAGTTACCCCCATTACCTTACCGCTAATTATTGAGCTGGGCTATGAGTATGCATTTACTCGTGGTCTCCACGCTAGTTGGTTGCGGAGAGTCTGACACAGGCTAGCTACACTAAGATAGCATGCTGATGCAGGCGGGCCTTCGTGGTGACTTCTTGTGTCTCCGCAAGGTACAAAGAGCAAGCGGATCGGTCGAGGTAAGCTGGGCGATTATGCATATTGCCTTTTTCACTTGTTTTCACGACATATCTCTCGAACGCAGTCATTTCAGGAAAATTTAGTTTTCAGGTTCGCATAGTTCTGAAGACATTGGTATCGCTCGTGGGCTGGCTCGAACCCTGTAGTGTGAAAATAGTTGCTGACAGACAGACAGACACACACACAGACCAAGTACTGTAACCCTCGCTGCATATGCACGCCAAAGGTTAATAATAATTATGTGTCTACTCAGGTGATTCTGACTGTGATGATGGGAAAATGACTAGTGTACAGGGGGCAGAACACCATTCTCCTGAGTTCATTTCTCCTCAGAATGTTTCTAACACAGCCAAAGTAATGGCCAAATACACTATGTGTATAGCTGTTATATAATTATACCTTTCTATAATAGGCTAAAGATGGTGACCAACCTGGGGTAGGAAGTCTTCGACCTGTAAAGACAAGGGCTGATGAGAAGTACCCAAATGAAGGTATATACATCTTCTTGCTCTGCTATACTTATTGATCTCAAGTCCTTCCATCCCAATCTCCTCCAGAGAATAAATGAAGATATTACCCTGTATAATATTTGATACGTCAGTAGGATAGCTTTGTATTTTTGTATATGTCGTCTCCCCCGCTCGATCATAATTAACTATGATAATGATTATTTTGTACGTCATCTAGCAATTTTACACTGTAACTTATTTAGTTCATGTCAGGGTGTTACCAATACTTTATTATCAGTGAACAAAACTTTGACAATGCGCACGAGCGAACAACTCCCGTGTTTTCTTGTGCGGCACAGGCGCGTGAGCTTTGTGCATGTGGGCTGAAACATACATCAGTCTAGGTTATATTTTTCCCTTGAATGCTTAAAAAGAGCTGTCCTAGGTGTAGTTAATTTGTTTGTTGTGCCTTTGCCTTTCTACCTCGTAGTTTTTACATGCTGCAGAGAAAAAATCACGTGCTCTCCCCCCATGAGGAGACAATGCAACATCTCTCCCTACAGCTTTACAAGAGAGCTTTGCATGAATATTATGATCACGAGAAGTTTAAAAACCATGCACAATTCAGTCTTTATGAATGCACAGCATAAGCTAAATTCTTGTCAGTGGGTATGGTGGTAGTCTGAGACACAGTTGGTAGTGACATAGGCTGCGTTAGGTTCAGTTGGAATGATGGAGGTGGAGGTTGGGGGCAGAACCACTTCATCATACACCACAGCATTTCTGGACTTGACACTTGGGTCTATACATAATGGAGCCTTCATACAGTGGACAGATTCTTAAGGGTAAGATTCACACTCTCACTTAATTATTGATTTGAGCCAAGTTTGAGAGCGACAAACTGGCACGGTCGCGGACCGTGTTGCGTGGCCCAACCCATAAAGTTCAGGGGGCAAATTGCCTCTATATATTGCCCCCTCCCCAACCTTGACAATGTATATGCCCATATTCGGATATTTCACTTGCATGTGAGTTCACACAGCATTGAGTTTTGAGGTAGCTATGGCCCCACACACTAATCAGAGCAACATTGTGCGTAGCCTCACCCGCAGTTATATCTTTTATCTTCTTTCTTCTGTACCGCCTGACTGTCATGAAGACTAGCACATGTGTAGACGGCAGCAGGAGACTGGAGGGCGACCCTACGGATCAAGTGGAAAGAACGACACCCCGATTTATGCGCGCGACTGCGTGGGCGCGCGTGAGCCGCGCCGGGAGAGAATGGAGACGGTTTAGGTATATTGGACGTTCCACTCTATATTGTGTTTTGTGTGCACTACTGCGTTAGCCATTCTGATTCCCCCCCCTCTCTCTCTCTCTCAGGGTATGGGTATGGACATACACCCCGCCACCCTCTTCAGTACCATGTTTGGAGAAGGAATGGGAGGATTCAGTTTCACTGGAGGTCATGGTGGGCGGAGCCACACATTCTCCGTCGGTGGTGGACCTGGAGAGTATACCTACATGTTTTAACCCTCTCTCTCTCCCTCTCCTTCATCAAGACCCACACCTCATTCTGAACTCCCTTTCCCTCTCCCTCTCACCTGCTCCTTCAAGACCCACACCTTGTTCTGAACTCTCCCTCCCTCTCTCCTTCATCAAGACCCACACCCCATTCTGAACTCTCCCTCCCTCTCTCCTCTCCTTCATCAAGACCCACACCTCATTCTGA